TATGTTTATGTCTGACAAGGATTTTGATGTCATTACTTAGAGATCTAAGTTTACGTTTGCGTTGTTCAGTTCTATTTTCGCGGTATTTTTTGAGAGCTCGATATTTCTTGCGCAGGAGGTGCCTGATTTCTCCATCAATCCATGGAGGAGAGTTTGTGTCTTTTATAACTTTAACAGGCACACATTTTTCTACTGCAGCTAAAAATAATGCTTTCCACCGAAACCAGTAGAGATCAACATCATCAGAGACGGACATGTCTAATGCGTTAAGCTGCAGACGGTTACGAAGGGCCTCGAAATCTGCTCTCTTGTAGTTGTACGCTTTACGTTGCACACGCTTTGCTCGCTTGAACTTCAGCCGTATAAAGAAATCTACTAGGTAGTGATCAGAGGGGAAATTACTTTCCACTGGAGTAGAAGTGGAGACGTGGTCGATAACTTCCGGACAGTTGGAGAGAAGCAAGTCGAGTTTGTTTCCTGCTATATGAGTAGGGCCTTTAATGAATTGAGTGAGGAAGTTATCTTTTGTTAGGACGCAGAATTCATTGTCCTCCTGAGACCCGCCGATGTTAGTAGGGGCGGATTCATCAGGTGACCAAGTTAGAGAGGGAAGGTTAAAGTCACCAACAACTACGACACACGCTGATTCAGGAGTTCCTTGTAGAGACAAATTAAGCTTGTGCAAGTCTTCTGGTCCAGGTTCGGGATGGTAAACAGTATAGAGAATAACTGACTTACTGTTATCCTTAATCAGTTCAACAACAGCAAGTTCAACATTGTCTCTCTCAAGGTCTTGTCGATGAGTGGACCTAATGTCAGACTTCACAGCAATTAAAACGCCTCCGCCAGTCCTTCCAACCCTGTCTTTGCGATAAATGTTATAGCCAGTTAGCATGGCCAGAAATGGAGTCCAACATGGCTGCCAAGCATGCGCATTTTGACTCAAAATAAAAATTCAAAATGGCGTCTTCTTATATAATTTGAATGCGAATAATGTAAAATTTGTATTTTTGATAACTTACGGTTGAGAAATCCAAAATGTGCATATCTAAAACTTCACCGATTCTGTCAAACTTTTATCCGTAAAAAAATTGGTACCACTCGAGTTGTCTAAGTATGTTCCCGAGCAATCAATATCTCTGCCTAGTCTCTGCATAGGAAAGTATGTGATTTCGACATATTAAGTATATTAGGTATTTTGCAGGTCCAATTTCAACTCGTTCTTTGCAGATACCGTCAAATGTGCATATCTGAATTGCTTCGTACAGTATTCGTCTTTATTATTGTCACTTGTATGAAGCGTAAAAGTATACACTAGTATGTTCCCCAAAGCAATGAATTGCATGTATTTTGTAGAGAGGTGTCTGTCCAATTGTGATGAGAAATGCACCATATTTTGAACAAAAATATCACAAATTTCGCACCAAGAGTTATATTTGTTGTCCGCCATTGCTTTTATAAAGCTGTTGCTGCGTTACAATGGTTTTAACCGCTGTCAATATAGGCTGTAGTCTCGTAAACATTCTAAAATTCGCGGGATTTCGTAATAAATTTGATTTGCCGATTTCAAAACATTTATAACTATTGAGTATTGGTAGACTTTTGAAATTTGAGCATCGATCAAGACTCGGTTGGCGTAAAGTTTGTTATATTTTATAATTTTGCATGTTTTCTATTTTTCTGGTTGTATTTGCAATGTCGGATATTCCGCCTTTGCGCCCTATGCATACTTGTATGCAATGGAAATTATGTGTTGAAAGCCATTCATTAGCTTATTTCTTCTTAATTTCAATTTATAAATCTGCCGTGCTCAGATTATTTAGTTCTCGGTAAAACTCACTGACCTATACTAGTAAAAATAAACAGCCATTTTAATTTGTATTTGCCAAAACTGAACCACTGATCTGTATAGTGCACTGAATTATCAAGAAAATATGAGCCCGCACGCCCGACCGCTTGATGTCCTCCATTTCTGGCCATGGGATTTCTGATGACATAACTGAATCGTTCAACCAGGTTTCACATATACAGACAACGTCATAACAATTACTGTAGACCAGCTGCTGTATCAATGTTATTTTACAAACTTTGCTGGAAGGGTTTTCTACAAGGGGAACGAAAGCTTTGATACTTCGTGCGTTCATATAGAGGACATTTAAACCTCCGGGGAGGGTAGGTGAGTTGTTATTAACGTGAGCGGGACCGGGGTTAGTAGCAATGTCGCCAGCTAACAAGATCGAGATAAGCACATGATTTGAGACGTTGGCGATTCGTAAGTCCATACCATAGCAATAGTATTTTGGTAGGTTAAAACTTCTCAACTTTGTATCTCGGGTAGAAATCCAGACAAAACATAGTTTATCAGGCAGTCGTGCTAGCTCGGAGCTAATTGCTATATTACCTAGAGGCAGACTAGTATCAGGTTGACAATGAGTCGGAGACGGCTTTAGTTTTAGACACAGACTGAGAATTGTTAGCATAACTACAAAATTTAGTACTGTTCCCATTGCTGCGATGTTAGGCATATTGGGTATCTCAGACAAAACAAAGAAGTTGATAGTTCTATACTTGATATATAATATGCATATGTAGTAGAGAATGATCAGGCGATAATACCAGATAGGAAGTTGAATATCACTAAATATCACGATACAGATTACAGCCCACGCCCGTAATTCGAGAACGCCGCCGCGAATTATTTAAAATCCAACGTACAATAACAAAGGTCAACAAAGTACGAATAACACACGATATACTCTGTCAAATTGGACAAAAGTAATACCAAACTGTTACGAATAGATAGGCAAACACGAATCCAAAATGAAAACTTTACTTTAGACGAGGACAAAACCGCAAAACGACTACACGCAGGTTAAGTTGTTGCCATGACAAACGACGCTAGACATGATTAGTGATAGAAAAGTTCCAACGGTCAAATAATTCAAATGACTGTAGTTTAAAATATATATGTCCAAAATACACTAAAACTTGACAAAATGACGGGAGCACAATACGTATAATACTGGGAAAGTTACAAACAAATCCGATAATTCTTCGATGAGAAAATGCTCAAAACCCAAAGTTCACGATTTGTAGCGAGAGACACGAAACAGGCAGATGTTCACGATAGAAAATCCAAAATATATTATTGAATTCTCATGGATTTTTTTACTAAACTTACTCGCTTTTTTGGAACTTTGAAAGACGTTTTAGTATTTTGCAGGCTGTTTTGTATATGACAATGACTGCAGCCTAGAGTAAAAGTGCACGCGCGAGATCTCAGAATAACAGTATTACTAAGTAAGCCCCCTTGATGAGTGTGTACGCTCTTGGGGCAAACTCATTCTCATCAGAAATATGTTTAAATAAAGTAGCTAATATATTATATGTATTGCTAGAAATTCCCAAAACATTCATTTGTCATTGAAAACGTTAACAACCAACAAGCAGGATGATGTCATATAAATATAGAGCACGAGCCGAAAACGTCCATGTTCCTTCGATCAATGGCAGTAAATAAATATTGTATTTAATATATTAAATTAAGGACTGTGTTACTGTTGAAGTTAATTATAACATGAACGTTTTGCCTAGTGGCTAGTGCTTTATATATACGACACCAGCTTGTTGATTTGGTTGTCAACGTTTTCAATGACAAATGAATGTTTTGGGAATTTCTAGCAAACATATAATTTATTAGCTACTTAATAATACTGTTATTCTGAGATCTCGCGCGTGCACTTTTACTGTAGGCTGCATGCAGTCATTGTCATATACAAAAAGCCTCTAAATTACTAAAACGTCTTTCAAAGTTCCAAAATGCGAGTAAGTCTAGTAAAGAAATCCATGAAAAATTTCCCAAATCCACAAGAATTCGTATTGTAATAAATACGGATGAACTTTATAATTCCTCTAAATTCTTACATGGCGCCGTTTCATACAATTGCAAGTCAAATAACCATATGCAAACATATTATTCAAAGTCTATTCAAATAATAAAAAAGATAGCAAAGTTAAATATTGGTTATTGTTCAACTAAATTTAGAATAGAGTCACAGGTACACAGTACGGCAGAATATTGAAAACGAAAAATATAGTACATGCGGCAAAAGCCTCGAGCGAAACTTCGTTTGCACGTTTACAAACAAGCAAAACTCATGCATTTGATATTATGTACCGCCCGACATAATATATTTATCCTTGCCCATCAGAAAAATTATTTAAAAAAACAATAATACAAGTAAAAAGTAAAGATCGCAACCATCTATCACCCCGAATTTAATGCGAAACACGTGAATTTATAGAGAAACATGTACGTTGCTTCATAGCTCGTATTCCAGCGTGTTCCGGGTGGGGTTCCGGGTTTTCCGGGTGGGGTTCTGGGTGTTCCGGATGGGATTTCGGGTGTTCCGGATGGGGTTCCGTGTGTTCCGGGTGGGGTTCCGGGTGGGTTCCGGGTGGGGTTCCGGCTTTTACAGACACCCCATATATATTAGTGTTACCGTTCTAAATTATAATCTGGCTTACATATTTTCTCGAGATTATTACCTTCCTAGTTCGTTTCCTGGATTACCCCCTCCCCCCCCTTTGATGAATTCCTAATGCGCTATAGTATAAGCGACTCGCGGACTATTTTAAAGGGTTTTTTTAAACTTCTGTGTGTATTATTTTTCAGGCTTCACGAAGTCGTGTAAGTGAATGTTCAACGATAATGACTCGGCCATCGGCGAAGATTCAAATAAAAGTACAAGAAAAGAACCATTTAAAGCAAAGCAGTTTCAATATATTTGAGTAAATTAGGCGAAATGTTGACATGATTTCCTGTCAGAAAATCTTTCTTAGACTATAAGATTCGAACAAGCGTTAGTAATGAATGAAGTTCAATTGGCAAGCTACATGGGACAGCATGACGGCTTAACTAATCCAGTAGCATTGGAGATAACAAAATCGCCGTAGGCCTTGTAGTTCCCTTGCACAAGGGAACCACAATCCTTTGCGACACGTGTTATCTCACTGGAACAAAGAGCTCTGTCCCAAACGTTGACTTCGGTCAAGTTACCCTTATAGGAATCTCTGGTTTCAAACCACCTCCAAGTGAATCTTGATCTTGACCGATTACCCATGTTCCACCAGCTTCGATTTCTTGTTCATTCTTAACGACCGCCATAGTTTTCCCCAAAACACCGTTCTTGTACACTTTGAAATGTCCGCTAGACCAATCCCGTGTGAAACACACGTGATCAAGTTGTCCGTCAGCAAGTTCCAAGCCGAAGCTATAAAAAATTAAAACAGAGTCTTAATCCGACCAAGATGCGAAGGTCAGATTCTTTTGTGCGACCTCAAAATTAGGGGAAAATTAGGGGGGCACAAAAGAAACTTGCCCAACTTTTTGGCATTTTAGAAAGTGTTTCGAAGAGGCTAAAATTTATATATATTTCTTGCATTTTCGATTATTATCTTTAAAAGTTCTTCCATTTTCGACTATTATCTCACATATTTCTTGTTTAAGTTGTTTTCAAATTTATTTTCCCCATCTTTTTGCCCAACTTACGTTACATTTTTACTGGGGGCGGCTGCTCCTCCCCTGCCCATGTATATAAGCGCATGCCCCAATATTGAGGGTAGTAAAAAGTGTTTTCGTGAGTTGCCAATATTTGTTCTCTTGAAATGACGGATTTTTATGTCGTGAAACGTGATTTAGATGCCTAGCCGTGAGCCACGAATGCCGGAAATTTCGGTCCAGGAAAGGAGAATTTATTTGAGGCCGGTAGAACAAAGACTGGACGAATAGTGAGAAGTGCGAACGTGAAGAAAAGCAATACTTTGGATGTAACAATCTTACTGCATGCATGTATTTTCTTGATTTTGGATAGATATATCGGTTGGTTTTAAAATACAATGACAGATAATGTTTGTGATGCTACTCTGAGTGTATATCCACACGGGGCGAGCTTGAAAAACATGCCCGGCCACAGTGGGAATCGAACCTACGACCTTTGGAATACTAACCCAATGCTCTGCCAACTGAGCTACGCGGTCAGGATGGTTCGAGTAAGTCATATTTCGAAACAGAATCTAGTTCCTTCGATACCAATGAAATCTAGTAATATGATTTTTTCTGTGTTGGTGTTGTCTAGGTGAATAACTCGTGTGGATATACACTCAGAGTAGCATCGCAAACATTATATTCACCTGAGTACACAACACCAACACAGAAAAATTCATATTACTAGATTACATTGGTATCGAAGGAACTAGATTCTGTTCCGAAATATCACTTACTCGAACCGTCCTGACCGCGTAGCTCAGTTGGCAGAGCATTGGGTTAGTATTCCAAAGGTCGTAGGTTCTATTTCCACTGTGGACGGGCATGTTTTTCAAGCTCGCCCCGTGTGGATATACACTCAGAGTAGCATCGCAAACATTATATTCACCTGAGTACACAACACCAACACAGAAAAAGTAATGACAGATAAGCTAACGAATTTAGAAAGGCATGAAGTACTCAAGATAGAATTTTTAAATATTTTACCAGTGAAACGTGAAACCGATAGCTGTTTTTCTTTAAGTGAAACATGATCCGAACCACCTCCCCTTTACTACCCTCAATATTTGGAGGGGGTACCAACAGGTGTGCATGTAGTAGGGTTATTTTTCCCCATCCCCAAAGTTAATTAAAATGGTCACTTTCTTCTTTTGTCGAGGAGATGTCTGGAGAAAAAATGGATACCTGAAGACTGAAACTCTCTGACTAGTGGCGAGGTTGAGGCCAATGGTTTAGTCATACTATTGGGTGGTCCTTCGCAGCCAAGGGGTTCTGGGGGCCTGTATACAGACTACATTATGCTGTAATGTCCAGCCCCAGCAACACTACTCATGACTTAACATAGTGGGTTCTGATTGGCTGGGCTAAAATATCAATGAACTTTGGACTTTGATTTTCGAATCGAAATAATATTTTCTTGACACTTGATGTTCATTGTAAATTTTACTTCTCTGTATGCTTCAAACTACTAAATTTTCGATGAAAAATGTTTCTGAGGTGTTGCAGATTAATATGTATATCCAACTGAACAAATGAAATGCAACAAGGAGTTGAGAATAACGGCAATTCCTGAGCGTGATCTGATTTGTTTGCGTTACCTTCAGATGAAATTCACGGTCCGAACTTTGTTGACCTTTGAACTCAGCCAATCAAAATCTATTAACTTTAACTATGACCAATCAGAATCAAATACCCAGATCTGCGTAGCGCTGTCGTGGGTCGCAAGCAATGTCACGAATTTTCACGGACAGTATAACCGAAATATAGTCTGTACACTGGCTACAATATTGATGACGACAGTAAGGGAATGTTCATTTAATATGACAAGGGGGGGGAGTAAAGATTCTGAGGGGGGGCATTAGAAAAAATTTAGTGCGGCAAGGGGGGGCTTTAAAATTTTTGAGGTTACGTAGGGGGGGGGCTCTTGTTTTTCCAACTACTTTAACTACCTATTTCCAGTTAATATGTGATAGTGTATTTTGAATGTTTAGGTCTATTTAAAGACAATATTAAATAAAACTGATTAAGGAGTGACAGGTTATATTTAATAGTCACTATCTTCATCCATTTCAAAGCTGTCAGACTCATCATCTCCAGGCTCTGTAATCTCGTCATCCACTTCAGAGCCATCTGAGAGTTCACTTTCAGACTCCAGGCTGGTCCTTTCCTCCTGACTCTTTACTGTGGTGGCCTTTTTGGCTGCTGCTCTTCTTGCCAGAAGTATATCTAAAAGTCTTTTTGCTTCTTCCATGTCATCAACTGTGTCTTGAGCAATCAAATATTAATTCGATGGCTTTTATGTGGAATCTGGGTAGGAGCTGTATACTCCCCAGTTTTTGTGTGCTAACTTTTTGAGTGTTTCCTTTTATAAGAAAGGCATCAGCAAATTCTTTTCCATGTATTTTCAATATAAGCTTGTAAGCTTGTTTCTTTCCCATGTATCCCAACGATCCCAAATATTCCGCAGAGTTTAGAGGCACTTGTGCCCGTGTGCATGATGACACAAAACTTTTTGTGGAAATGACAAATGCAGATGACTTAGCAAATGTAACCTCTTGCAAATTTCCCGAAAACCCGTATTGTCAGTACGAGAAAGAGAGACTCTCGCATTTAATGATTCGCTTGGAATCATCCTTGTCTTTGTGTGGTCGCTTCAATCTAAACGAAGCTGAGTTAAAGCTACTTGCAACAGCAATGATCCCTATAAAGTTGACTGATATAATTGATACTGCTAAAGCTCTGCGTGACAATTTCCCTTCAGAAGCACATCAGGTGCAGCCGAAATACGATGCTCTTTTGAAAAAATGCCATTCTCTTCTTGAGGGGATTGCAGAGCTGACGTTTCCGCCTGTGAAACCAAGATGGGCGGATTTTACCGACGCTGGACCTGGAGTTGCTTGTAACAGTTTCGAGGTACAGTTCAGGGATGCTGAGTTAGCGATTATCCATAACAGTGACTATCGGATCAGACTGCATTCTTCCAGGGGTAATTCGTCTGATAACGAGGCCGAGAGAACTAACAGCGCAATCGGCGACAGTATCGTAGATGGCGCAACACTCCAGTGGAACAAACATAAACGCTTTGATGGACTAAGTGATGAAGATATAAGTAAACTGACTGTGAAAGAGTTCGAAGAACACGAGACGGATAGAATGGAGAAGAATGCGTGGTACTGTGCTAATGAAATTCGCAATAGGGTTGATGGGGCACCAGTGTTTAACGAGTTTATTAAATGTTATTTAACTCCAAAGCAAAGCCCTTTCTTTTTCAACAAAAAATACTTAAAACAATTTCAAAGTTGTACTGCCGCTGAGTCAAAACAACAGGTTCCTGGTTACCACTACATAACGAATGTTTTAAACTTTATTGAAAGACACTACAGAATTGGTGAACTATATATGGAATATATAAGGGACGGATGTCGGGAAAATGGAGAGGTATGCAAGAAATGTAGTGAAAAGGACTGGGTTGGACCCAGGTTCTCCAGAGTTCCTGCCCCGTATCCAGATCCTGATAAGCCAGGGCATTATATGAGTGTTTTCAACACACCAACCACAGACAATAACGGGCAGTTAAGGGAAGTGGATGATGTCGCTCCCAGGGCAGTGATAAAGCGTCTATATAAAGCTGGCACGATCTCATCGGACAATGTCGAACAACTTAAAGAAGTATCCAGTCGCTATTGTGTTGAAGAGAAGGATGTCGCATCATATGTTAAACACCTTGAAGAGTTGAAAATGATGTCTGCTATCAGGGAAAACGAAAGAAGAAAAAAACGAGAAAAAGAGTGCAGCAAAACCTATGAGGACTACGATTGGAATACCCTCATTGATTCAGGAAAACTAAATTCATTAAAAGTGCATGGAACTTGACAAGTACCTTAAGAGACACGACCTGTCCACTATCGGAAAAAAAGAGGATAAAATCAAACGAATTAAAGCAGATTTCTACATAAATAGGACCAACGACGCAGCCATTGATGCAGAAACTTCAGATGATGATACTTTGTCAGGAGATGGTGAATCCGATTCTGACGATGATGAAGTACTTCAGATAATTCCAGAAGGCGATGAAGACGACAATTCAACGGAGGGAAGTCTGAGGATTCTGATGAAGAAATTGCAAATTTGCCAACGATACGCAGCAGAAGAGCAGCTAGTTTTCCACATGCAAGATACGAAGACTATTATGTTTATTAACTAGTTAAAATCAGGATAACGCCCAGGTATCTTTAAGATTTTGGATGTAGTTATATATGGGTATTATTAAAATTGAGCAAAGGAAGAAGGGGGGGGCTCTTAATTTTTAGGGATACTTACAGGGGGGCTCACAAATTTCAGCGCAATGTTGCGATGGGCTCCTAAAAAAATCTTGTAAGCAATACGAAATCTTCACTCCCCCTCTTGTCATATTAAATGAACATTCCCTTATTTCGCAAAATATACTCGTACACAACAATCATAAATTTATGTTGAATTGTTATTGTCAAGTTCAAGTTGTTCTGCTATTTTTAGACAATATGCCGGTTAGCCAATCAGAATGCAAAATTGACCGGCCCAGACCATGCAGGGATTTCTCGTATCGCCCAGAGCCTCGTCCTCACACGAAAGCCCTGGGAACGAGGTTGACCTCCCGTTTACCAACGTAACATTCCACATAAAAGCGCTTATTAAATACAAGCCTGATTTTTGTCCAATTGAATTGGGGACAACGTTTTCTCCGAATGAAATAAAGAATAGAACATTTGGTCAGGGGTTAGTACATGTATTGTTGTTTTGGTTTGTGTAATTAATGTTTTACAGCATTACTCCGCCTTGAAAACAGTATTTTTGGGGGATTTTGATAGTTACATATAATTGCGTGTGTTGGGTGGTCGAGAAAGAGATAATTATTAATTATTGATAGAATTGTTTATTTTTAGAAAAAGCATAAAAAATTTCTCTCCGTCCTTGTCCAGACGAATTTCGTGTAATTTCTTCAATTAATCGGTGGACGTGCACGAAGTCACAGTTCCAACACTTAAACGTGCCGGCGCTGCATCGTCACTAATTGCGTACGTATAGAAAGTATATAACCGTCCAACGTTAAAGTACTTGATCCCAAATCAATAAAACGAACGGCAAAAGCATGCATAATTAATAAGAATCATCAGAGGAAACCATTTAGGAACTCTCTTATCATTTAGATTTGGTAGGGTGAAGACGTACGGCAGGAATAAAGTAAAAAAACAACACTTATAGTAATTTGCACCTTTGCGTTTTTGAAATTTGACTAATGAGTTTCTATATTCATTATATCTGTCGAATCTCGAATAATCTAGCACACACAGTCATGCATGTTTATTTATATTTCATTCTCGTAGGCGAACCATGTGGCCAGGCAATTAAATGCAGCGCTGCCAGCGCAAGTCACGTAATGATGAATATATAATTGAACAACGGTCTGCCAGTGTAGCACCGCCAATAGTATAAGAAAGTTGCGAATTGATAGAAATACAACTACCTGAAATGCATGTACAAAGAGGTCTTCGACGTTTCGGTAACAGGTGTTGAAAAAATGATGCCATTGAACTTTACTAATGAATATATAAAATTGGTCATGTGACAAAAAATAAACCAATCAAAACAAAGTGTAAACAAAAAATGTAAATCACATTACAGAATATTATTAATATAAATATACAGAAAACTACATCACATACAAATAATATATAAAACAATTATGGAATAAGGTAGTGAGAATTTAAAGTATCTTTGCCTGTCGAAAGCAGACATTGACCGTATAGATAGAGCTATAAACATATAGGAAAAAGTCCAATATATTAATTGCCATATGTTCGTTAGACATTCAGTGTTGTAGGACTGTGAAAACACATTTGATCTGTATCTTTACTGAGATAAGGTTAACTTAAAAAACTAACAAAATTCAGTGAACACTGTATTATAAAGTATGTTAACTTTCCGTTAATGCGTGACTTGTGGTGAACCGTCGCTAGTGTTGGAGCCGATGTGGACAGTTTCAGTTTGTTCCAAAACTTGAAAGATTATATAATAATAATAATAAAAATAATATTTTTAAAGTCAAAAGCGGAGTATTAATTGGAATTGATAAGGTAAATGTTAAAGTTATGTGGAGTTAACACTATGATGCAGCTAATTAATGTATAATATAGCCCATACTTTATACCTGATGAAAATAACAAGTATTAATAAAGGCCCTTTTTCAGGCCTTTAAATCTTCAAGGCCGATTTTATACGATTGCGCATATACTCGAAAAAATTAATGTGTCTAAGGGCCTGCTCATATGAGCCGGCCTAACGCAGGCTGACTCGCAAGTGGCGAGATCTCGCCTCGTATATTGTTTTTATATGTTTTTGAGATTTGATTCACATGAGAACCTGGCTGGCCCAGTGAACCCGGTTCGCCGGGCTCCCGTTTGACCGGGAGGCAAGATCTCGCCTTCCCGGGCTCATATGAACACACTTATAAATAGCGGGCAAGCCTGGCAAACCGGACTGGAAATTGTGTCACAGTGCATGCTTTATTCCATCTATAGAAAGTATCTCATGGATGAAAGCATCTAAGAATTCTAAACAAGTATAAGAAAGCAACAATATTAAAACTTCTGAAGCAGTTTCCGTAAATAAAAAAGCATTTTGCAAAATTAAAACAAATATCACGCTCCCGCCAAAAATCGCGCGGGAATTTCTATAGCGTTTGCCGCGGGCTAGCTCATCTCATGTGAAACAAATAACAACTTGGCCCGGCAAAGCGAGCTTTCCCGGTTTAAAGGGCCAGCCCGGCTCATATGAACCGGTCCTAACGGCCAATTTCCACGATGCTGCTGGTCGTATATGATTATCAATCTGGCGTATGAAAACGACTGCTGACGCCACTATTCCTGTTCATGAGCTTATGGCGAAATTTGAAGTGTGACATCCAAGGACATTTTTTGTGGCTAGTCGCGCATGCGCCTAGCCACTATCACATCCACAAAAATGATGAGCGGTGTCTGTCCGAACCACAGTTGAGCTATATAGCTCAGTGGTCCGGACTAGCTTCGTTAGATATCGTGACGACGAAGTATGTACGACCACTATACGACAGTTTTGCGATCTTAAGTTTTTCTCGGCTATCTTTAAAATAGGGAACGGGGAATGCTTGAATACGGGAATGCTACTTCATTAAGTTATGACACGGATTAAAACGTATGCCATCAAATAAATCACTGATCAAATCAAACATGAATAATAATTTATTCAAGATACAGAGATACAACTTATTGTAATACCAATGTTCTTGCAGGAGAACCATGAGGTTGACCCTATTCGAGTAGTTCCCCTTACCTACACTAAATCTACGTTAAAAAAGTTCCTAAGAGTACATGTCCATATGCTCTTTCAATCTACTTTTAAAAAGTGAAAGCCTATCAGCCTCCGCAACAGGCGCTGATAAACCATTCCACAAATTGGAAGTGCGATGAAGCATGGAAGCATGTTGATATTTAAGGCCGGCCCTACACGTTTCCAAATATATCAGTGCAGTAATAAATAATAAATAAAAAATTACAGTAATAAATTTACGGGATGTTTCCACAAACAAAACTATTATATATCAGTGTAATTAATAAAGCTATTTGAATCTAAAAAAACTAATTTTTTGCACAAACAATTATTTCGTCTTATATAAAAAAGTAATTTTAACCCATAATCGCTACTTTTCATGTTACCATGACAACATGACGTCACCATTTCAGCCTTTCGGAAGACTAAAATACAATCTTAAAGGCTGAAATTCAGTTTCTCAAAAACTACACTGGCGATTTTCAAATAAGTTTCAAAAAGATTCAAACTTCATAACAATGTATTTTCTGCAATAAAAAAGTTAGGTCATTTTGGTTATTTGTCCACTAAGACGGCTTTTTTGGGTTGATATAAGCCATATAGATGGTGACGTCATGTTGTCATGGTAACGTGAAGAGTAGCGATTGTTACTCTTTTATATAAGAGGAAACAATGACTTGTGCAAAAAATTAGTTTTTTTAGTGAAATAGCTTTTAGTTTAAAACACTGACATATATTGGAAACCGTGTATAGGGAGCCTCCTTAACTGACCGAAATAACCGCGACACCAATATATATCATCAACCAGAAATTTCCGACACAATGGTGCCCACGTTTTGAATCAATTATATAATTGCAATATGGGTTAAACTAAATAGTTAAATTCCTTAATTGTAAAGTTCTCTTTATTTGGCGCACCATTTGCAATAAAGAGAAATGATAATTGGATATTATAATTTAATATTTATCCATTGTAATTTTTTATTATTTGGACAATGGTGTTTACGGCTGGAAACTAAAACACTCGTAGAACTCATATGCCACTACATCCAGGACCAGATGCCATGCGCGTATTTTCCGTATTTCACGCTTGCAAGTGACATACGACATTGTTATTTTGAAAATACAAATAATAATCGAGTCTTTGGTTCGTATATAAAACGAAATCAGCATTGGAAATAAAACGAAAACATGAGTAAAATTTATTTTAGTTTTATATGTTTGCCCTATAATTTAAAAATATCGCTTTTAAACTGGTCTTTCGCGCGCTTATTTACATGTCGTCTTTGCGTGTATTTTTGTCACTCTGAATAAGTCCATAACATAATAAACGGTCTAAACACGAATGGCCACGGATCTGTATCGTACCAGTTGCGTGATTTCACAATGTTAAGAACAAATCCTATTTTGTCATATCAAATCCTTTGCTGGCATGAGTTGTTATTATGATGCAAGAAAAAAGTTGAGTTGCGAAATTATAAATATTTACAAACTTACTGCTTTATTATTCTTTCGTAGTTAGTAATTCAATCCGTAATGGGTTTATATTTCATACCGAGTGTTATTCCTGCTAGAGAAAACCACGAAGACAAAACGTTTTTCGCCTTTATAACAATCTGTTCCGAAACAGCTTTTCATCACTCGTGGTCACTCGTGATCATTCGTGGTCATTCGTGGTCCCTCGTGTGTACTTTTAGTCAAGAGTCAAATGACAGCGTTGTCATTTACTGTAATAGCTTCTAATTTAATTAATGTCAGATAATTCAGATAATTCAGTTTTATTTCCACTTATTTCTTTCTTACAAGATTATGAATTACTAGTATACTATATATATTTACATTAATATTCCATAATATGTATTTACAGATGAAGAGTGCGTAGTGGTCAAAGGAGCAGAAGCTTTCGTGTTGACCACTACCATTATGAAATTATATTTGAGTATTTAAAACAATGATTTCTATACTAATAAGTTCTTTAAATTAAAGAACTTAATTAACGTACTTTTTAACTTTTTTAACTTTTTTTTAACTTTTCTTAACTTTTTTCTTCTTTGTTTAAGTTCTTCTTTATTTTTTTCTTTTAATAAGTTTTTTGATTTCTATACTATAGTATTTAGCATTAGGGTTTCTAAGTGTATAGTATAATTTACAAAACTTATTTTATATTTATGATTACTACAGTAGCTATAATATAATTTTTAATAGCATATAAGTCTAGTCAAATCTGTCATGTAATTCTACTTGATTATTAAGAAGAAACATTTTATACTGTTTTTTGAAACTACAAAATGGCAATGATTTAATTTGTTTAGTAATTTTTTCCCATATTTTGGAAGCTTTGTTTTGAGAATCTGGTTAACCCGTAATTTGTTCTAGAAGCTGGTCTGTATAGGTTCTGTTTAGAGGCATATCTGGTGTTATAACTATGAACATCAGATGCTTCCATAGTCAAATTTATTAAGGCTTTAGAAACAACTGTTCTCCTAATTATTATTTTATAAACAAGAGATGATATTTTCAGGTTAAAGATATTTTCAAGTTTCAGTATTTCGAAAAGTTG